AATCAAACTCGAACTTTTGGCTGAGAAAAGTAAGCTCGAAATGAGAACTAAATTTCAAGATGTTGAAAGAGTAGTGAATGAGCGGATGTCGAAAATTTTCCAAGAGTTGAATGAAAGATGTCGAAATCTTCCAACTGAAAACTTTGAATACGAAGATGAATGTATAGAAGATACAGAGGAAACTGATATGTCAACTCAGTTTTTGAGAATGCAGAAAAATCAGCTGATTGATTTGAAACAAAATCTGGAGAGGTATGTTAACACGTTACCTGTATTTGGGTTTAACAGTGGAAGATATGATCTGAACTTGATCAAGAGCTATCTGATTCCCTACTTAATCGATGATAAGGAAGCTGAACCTATGGTTATCAAAAAGGCTAACAATTTCATATTCTTCAAGTTTGGAGATATACAGTTTCTCGATATCATGAAATTTTTGGGTGGAGCAACATCTCTAGACTCCTTTCTTTAAGCTTACAAAGCCAGTGAGACAAAAGGGTTTTTCCCTTATGAGTGGTTTGACAGTCCAGACAAGCTCGAGAGTGAAGAATTACCTCCATACGAAGCCTTTTTCAGTAAACTGAGAAACAACAACCCTCTTGATAAAGACTTTAAGGAATACCAGAACCTGAAGTCAAGTGGACTTGATGAGCAGCAAGCACTAAAGAAACTTCAAATCAGGTCAGTACCTGCATCCGGATGGGATAATTACAAATATTTACAGGAGATTTGGCAGAAACATGGAATGACTACATTTAAAGATTTTTTGCAGTGGTACAACAACAAAGATGTTGTTCCAACCCTTGACGCAATGCAAAAAATGGTTCAGTTTTATCATCAGAAAGAAATTGATATGTTTAAACTTGGATGTACTCTTCCAAATCTGGCAAATATTTTTCTTCACAAATCAACCAATGAAAAATTCTACCCTTTTTGCGAAAGTGATAGAGATTTGTGCGAGAAAATTAGAGAGGATATGACGGGGTGACTGTGGTTAAGTTGAAATTATTGTATTTAGAGCTGAGAGAGGAGGTAGTTGACGGTAGTTAAATTGAAAATAAAATGATTTTTAGTTAAGAGAGAGTGGTACCTTCAACTGGAATGTGTGGGTTTAACCAATCAGAATGAATTTTCCTTATTTGGATTGTAGTCGTGTCCAATCAGATTTCAAATTCCTTTTATGGAATTCTTATAGAAAACTCATGTCCAATTGGAAACAAAGCTCCATTTTATACATTGTCGTTTCCAATCACAAAAATGTTCATTTTTGTTCAAGTTGTTGTATCCAATCAGAGGATCCTTTTAAGGACTTAAGTCTTCCAAATAAGTAAAAATGTACACAAAAGCAATCGCAAAATTAAATGACCAAAAGTTGTTTTCTGTAAAAATAAGAAATATTGCTGATATAAGTAACGAAAGAAGAAAAATTAATAAAAGTAGCATCTCTGCAAGTCTTCTCATCAAGTTAACTGAATTTTTTGTATATAATCGATAAGAAATTGCTGATTTTTCAGCAGATAATCAAGTTTTTGATTTTGATGTAGATTTGAGACGATAACTCAAAGTTGATGAATTTTTCAAAGCAAATCTCTGGAACTCTAATACCAAAACTGATCATGCAAGATTTTGAACTTTGAAAATCTTTATAAAAATGGAGGAATAAAGAACTTTGCTGGGGAGTTTTAACAAATTTGCGAGTTGGATATGGAATAAAAAGAGTCTTTGAAATATTATCGTACGATTTTTTTATTAACTTCAAATTTTTTAAAATAGTTAAAATTTCTTCCTATCAAGTGTAACTCAGCTGTAAGTTTATAGCTTTGATACGCAATATGTGGATCAAAAATAAACTCTTTGATTGAGTACGTTTCTCTAAAGAGACCTTTACTTAGCCGGAGAACTCTATTTTGGACAACATAAACGTCCAAAAAATTGTGAAAAAAGTAAGAATCTACATCTATTTCATCAATAAGGAAATCACACGGAATATTTTCTTTTTTCTTGTAGAGTAATTCGAGGAAGTTCAAATGCTTTTTAATTGACATTCTTCAAAAATGAATATTTTGGATCCAAAGTTATGACTAGAAACTGCTTAGTTCTGATTGGTTGAAAATTTTTCTGGAAAATTCTAGAACTTTCAAAGGAATGACGTCATTACCATAAAAGGAAAATTGCGTGGGTGTTGACGTCACTTCTATTCATAGAATGACGTCCTTACCATAAAAAGAAAATTGCGCAGGCTGTGACGTCACTTCTATTCAAAGGTTGACGTCATTACCGTAAAAGGATTATTGCGTAGGCGTCATTGATAGTATAAATACACTTATTTTGTTGGGTTAAATCATTCATTTTGTTTGCCAATCAGAAACAGTCAATTGAATTTTACTTAAAATTTTACATTTTGTTACTTCACGAAAAGTGAGAATTTCATTCGATTGGTACTTTAAGTTTTTAAATTTGCAACATTTCAAAGGTCCCAATTTTTTTAGATAATGCCTGCCCTTAACCGAAACGAGAAAGTCAAATGTGACGAATGTGGTCAGGAATACAGGAGAGCCGATAATGCGAGACATCAAAAAAGATGTGCTAAAGGAGTTGTTTCTTGTCCTGAATAAAGTATTCCACTTACAATCAACAAGAAATGAGCTATCATATGGCTAAGAAGCATGCTCAACCAAGTTCGAAGCAGTCGACGGTTTGTTCTTCTTGTGAATAAGAGTTCCCCAGTTACTACTCTCTCCAACAACATCGGAGAAAGGAACATGGAGTAAAACAACGGAAACCCAGTGATACGGTGGCAGACTTGAACAAGATTTTGGAGGAGGAAGGGGAAGATGGAGAGAAACTCAAAGAGGAGTTGAGTGCTTGTCAGCATTTCTTGGTGGACACTGAGATGGAGAATGAGAGGCATAAGATATTTAACTTTCAAATGTCAAAGTTAGATACCAAGATTATCAACGAGAAGCTTGAAGAAGTCTTCAACAAGCTAGATTCCGCTGCAAAAATTAATATTGCTCTTGGATTTATTCTCCGTAATGTCGAAACGGGAGAATATCGGTATTACTATGCACACGAAAACAATACTTTGTTCGAAAAATCGCATTTACTGTGTACGAAAGCGGATTTGATTACAATCCAGGGAAAAGTTGAAAAGTTTGATATCGTGGAGCAATGCACCCAAGCACGTCAGAACACAAAAGTGGAGGTTCAAGTTGATCACAAATGTTACTATTTTTGCTGCACTACTGAAAAAAACATCCCAATGGGATGTCCAGACTCTGTGTTGCCTGAACCCTTACTGAAAAACCATTCAGTAAATTGTCTTTTATCGGACAAAAATAAACAACCATACAAAGATCATCTTTGTCTTTTCCGTGCGTTAACAATGTATTTGCATGGTCATAGTAACCTCGATGCTCATACATCTCAACTATTTACAGAGTTTATATCAAAATCTGGATACGATCCGAAGAACTTTCTCGGAGTTGCCATTGATGATTTGCCTCTTGTAGAGGAAATAGTTGAACGAAACATATTCATTTATGATTTTGACATTCAAGAAGGAGAATTTGTTGGAGAATTAGCGAGGCGAATTATTGGAAAATTTGAAAAAACCGTGAAATTGCTAAGATTCAACAACCATATCATTCACACGAATGATATTGATTCCTTCTTCAGGTGTTTTCGATGTCCTAGCTGTGACTGTTTCCTCAACAGATCAGACAACTTCAACAGACATCTTATGTCTTGTAAAGATAGAGTGCGACACATTTATCCAAAGAATGTATATACACTTCGAGAAACGCTATTTGAAAAGTTGGAAGGTTTCAATATCCCAGTTTCGAAAGATAACACACTATTCAACAACCTAGCCATTTTCGATTTTGAGTCGATATGTGTTCCATCAGATGAACTGAAAGCTACCCAAACAACAACTTGGATTGGAAAACACGTTCCAATTTCTGTATCAATATCCTCGAACCTGATAGATGAACCAATTTTTCTTTATAACAAGGATCCGCAAAAGCTTATTATCGATTTTGTAATCAAACTCGAACTTTTGGCTGAGAAAAGTAAGCTCGAAATGAGAACTAAATTTCAAGATGTTGAAAGAGTAGTGAATGAGCGGATGTCGAAAATTTTCCAAGAGTTGAATGAAAGATGTCGAAATCTTCCAACTGAAAACTTTGAATACGAAGATGAATGTATAGAAGATACAGAGGAAACTGATATGTCAACTCAGTTTTTGAGAATGCAGAAAAATCAGCTGATTGATTTGAAACAAAATCTGGAGAGGTATGTTAACACGTTACCTGTATTTGGGTTTAACAGTGGAAGATATGATCTGAACTTGATCAAGAGCTATCTGATTCCCTACTTAATCGATGATAAGGAAGCTGAACCTATGGTTATCAAAAAGGCTAACAATTTCATATTCTTCAAGTTTGGAGATATACAGTTTCTCGATATCATGAAATTTTTGGGTGGAGCAACATCTCTAGACTCCTTTCTTTAAGCTTACAAAGCCAGTGAGACAAAAGGGTTTTTCCCTTATGAGTGGTTTGACAGTCCAGACAAGCTCGAGAGTGAAGAATTACCTCCATACGAAGCCTTTTTCAGTAAACTGAGAAACAACAACCCTCTTGATAAAGACTTTAAGGAATACCAGAACCTGAAGTCAAGTGGACTTGATGAGCAGCAAGCACTAAAGAAACTTCAAATCAGGTCAGTACCTGCATCCGGATGGGATAATTACAAATATTTACAGGAGATTTGGCAGAAACATGGAATGACTACATTTAAAGATTTTTTGCAGTGGTACAACAACAAAGATGTTGTTCCAACCCTTGACGCAATGCAAAAAATGGTTCAGTTTTATCATCAGAAAGAAATTGATATGTTTAAACTTGGATGTACTCTTCCAAATCTGGCAAATATTTTTCTTCACAAATCAACCAATGAAAAATTCTACCCTTTTTGCGAAAGTGATAGAGATTTGTGCGAGAAAATTAGAGAGGATATGACGGGGTGACTGTGGTTAAGTTGAAATTATTGTATTTAGAGCTGAGAGAGGAGGTAGTTGACGGTAGTTAAATTGAAAATAAAATGATTTTTAGTTAAGAGAGAGTGGTACCTTCAACTGGAATGTGTGGGTTTAACCAATCAGAATGAATTTTCCTTATTTGGATTGTAATCGTGTCCAATCAGATTTCAAATTCCTTTTATGGAATTCTTATAGAAAACTCATGTCCAATTGGAAACAAAGCTCCATTTTATACATTGTCGTTTCCAATCACAAAAATGTTCATTTTTGTTCAAGTTGTTGTATCCAATCAGAGGATCCTTTTAAGGACTTAAGTCTTCCAAATAAGTAAAAATGTACACAAAAGCAATCGCAAAATTAAATGACCAAAAGTTGTTTTCTGTAAAAATAAGAAATATTGCTGATATAAGTAACGAAAGAAGAAAAATTAATAAAAGTAGCATCTCTGCAAGTCTTCTCATCAAGTTAACTGAATTTTTTGTATATAATCGATAAGAAATTGCTGATTTTTTAGCAGATAATCAAGTTTTTTGATTTTGATGTAGATTTGAGACGATAACTCAAAGTTGATGAATTTTTCAAAGCAAATCTCTGGAACTCTAATACCAAAACTGATCATGCAAGATTTTGAACTTTGAAAATCTTTATAAAAATGGAGGAATAAAGAACTTTGCTGGGGAGTTTTAACAAATTTGCGAGTTGGATATGGAATAAAAAGAGTCTTTGAAATATTATCGTACGATTTTTTTATTAACTTCAAATTTTTTAAAATAGTTAAAATTTCTTCCTATCAAGTGTAACTCAGCTGTAAGTTTATAGCTTTGATACGCAATATGTGGATCAAAAATAAACTCTTTGATTGAGTACGTTTCTCTAAAGAGACCTTTACTTAGCCGGAGAACTCTATTTTGGACAACATAAACGTCCAAAAAATTGTGAAAAAAGTAAGAATCTACATCTATTTCATCAATAAGGAAATCACACGGAATATTTTCTTTTTTCTTGTAGAGTAATTCGAGGAAGTTCAAATGCTTTTTAATTGACATTCTTCAAAAATGAATATTTTGGATCCAAAGTTATGACTAGAAACTGCTTAGTTCTGATTGGTTGAAAATTTTTCTGGAAAATTCTAGAACTTTCAAAGGAATGACGTCATTACCATAAAAGGAAAATTGCGTGGGTGTTGACGTCACTTCTATTCATAGAATGACGTCCTTACCATAAAAAGAAAATTGCGCAGGCTGTGACGTCACTTCTATTCAAAGGTTGACGTCATTACCGTAAAAGGATTATTGCGTAGGCGTCATTGATAGTATAAATACACTTATTTTGTTGGGTTAAATCATTCATTTTGTTTGCCAATCAGAAACAATCAATTGAATTTTACTTAAAATTTTACATTTTGTTACTTCACGAAAAGTGAGAATTTCATTCGATTGGTACTTTAAGTTTTTAAATTTGCAACATTTCAAAGGTCCCAATTGTTTTAGATAATGCCTGCCCTTAACCGAAACGAGAAAGTCAAATGTGACGAATGTGGTCAGGAATACAGGAGAGCCGATAATGCGAGACATCAAAAAAGATGTGCTAAAGGAGTTGTTTCTTGTCCTGAATAAAGTATTCCACTTACAATCAACAAGAAATGAGCTATCATATGGCTAAGAAGCATGCTCAACCAAGTTCGAAGCAGTCGACGGTTTGTTCTTCTTGTGAATAAGAGTTCCCCAGTTACTACTCTCTCCAACAACATCGGAGAAAGGAACTTGGAGTAAAACAACGGAAACCCAGTGATACGGTGGCAGACTTGAACAAGATTTTGGAGGAGGAAGGGGAAGATGGAGAGAAACTCAAAGAGGAGTTGAGTGCTTGTCAGCATTTCTTGGTGGACACTGAGATGGAGAATGGGAGGCATAAGATATTTAACTTTCAAATGTCAAAGTTAGATACCAAGATTATCAACGAGAAGCTTGAAGAAGTCTTCAACAAGCTAGATTCCGCTGCAAAAATTAATATTGCTCTTGGATTTATTCTCCGTAATGTCGAAACGGGAGAATATCGGTATTACTATGCACACGAAAACAATACTTTGTTCGAAAAATCGCATTTACTGTGTACGAAAGCGGATTTGATTACAATCCAGGGAAAAGTTGAAAAGTTTGATATCGTGGAGCAATGCACCCAAGCACGTCAGAACACAAAAGTGGAGGTTCAAGTTGATCACAAATGTTACTATTTTTGCTGCACTACTGAAAAAAACATCCCAATGGGATGTCCAGACTCTGTGTTGCCTGAACCCTTACTGAAAAACCATTCAGTAAATTGTCTTTTATCGGACAAAAATAAACAACCATACAAAGATCATCTTTGTCTTTTCCGTGCGTTAACAATGTATTTGCATGGTCATAGTAACCTCGATGCTCATACATCTCAACTATTTACAGAGTTTATATCAAAATCTGGATACGATCCGAAGAACTTTCTCGGAGTTGCCATTGATGATTTGCCTCTTGTAGAGGAAATAGTTGAACGAAACATATTCATTTATGATTTTGACATTCAAGAAGGAGAATTTGTTGGAGAATTAGCGAGGCGAATTATTGGAAAATTTGAAAAAACCGTGAAATTGCTAAGATTCAACAACCATATCATTCACACGAATGATATTGATTCCTTCTTCAGGTGTTTTCGATGTCCTAGCTGTGACTGTTTCCTCAACAGATCAGACAACTTCAACAGACATCTTATGTCTTGTAAAGATAGAGTGCGACACATTTATCCAAAGAATGTATATACACTTCGAGAAACGCTATTTGAAAAGTTGGAAGGTTTCAATATCCCAGTTTCGAAAGATAACACACTATTCAACAACCTAGCCATTTTCGATTTTGAGTCGATATGTGTTCCATCAGATGAACTGAAAGCTACCCAAACAACAACTTGGATTGGAAAACACGTTCCAATTTCTGTATCAATATCCTCGAACCTGATAGATGAACCAATTTTTCTTTATAACAAGGATCCGCAAAAGCTTATTATCGATTTTGTAATCAAACTCGAACTTTTGGCTGAGAAAAGTAAGCTCGAAATGAGAACTAAATTTCAAGATGTTGAAAGAGTAGTGAATGAGCGGATGTCGAAAATTTTCCAAGAGTTGAATGAAAGATGTCGAAATCTTCCAACTGAAAACTTTGAATACGAAGATGAATGTATAGAAGATACAGAGGAAACTGATATGTCAACTCAGTTTTTGAGAATGCAGAAAAATCAGCTGATTGATTTGAAACAAAATCTGGAGAGGTATGTTAACACGTTACCTGTATTTGGGTTTAACAGTGGAAGATATGATCTGAACTTGATCAAGAGCTATCTGATTCCCTACTTAATCGATGATAAGGAAGCTGAACCTATGGTTATCAAAAAGGCTAACAATTTCATATTCTTCAAGTTTGGAGATATACAGTTTCTCGATATCATGAAATTTTTGGGTGGAGCAACATCTCTAGACTCCTTTCTTTAAGCTTACAAAGCCAGTGAGACAAAAGGGTTTTTCCCTTATGAGTGGTTTGACAGTCCAGACAAGCTCGAGAGTGAAGAATTACCTCCATACGAAGCCTTTTTCAGTAAACTGAGAAACAACAACCCTCTTGATAAAGACTTTAAGGAATACCAGAACCTGAAGTCAAGTGGACTTGATGAGCAGCAAGCACTAAAGAAACTTCAAATCAGGTCAGTACCTGCATCCGGATGGGATAATTACAAATATTTACAGGAGATTTGGCAGAAACATGGAATGACTACATTTAAAGATTTTTTGCAGTGGTACAACAACAAAGATGTTGTTCCAACCCTTGACGCAATGCAAAAAATGGTTCAGTTTTATCATCAGAAAGAAATTGATATGTTTAAACTTGGATGTACTCTTCCAAATCTGGCAAATATTTTTCTTCACAAATCAACCAATGAAAAATTCTACCCTTTTTGCGAAAGTGATAGAGATTTGTGCGAGAAAATTAGAGAGGATATGACGGGTGGACCATCAATTGTGTTTACTCGAAAAGCTGTTGTGGATGAAACCTTTATCCGGGATTCATCAAATGTCTGCAAATCAATTGTTGGAATTGATGCAAGCCAGCTCTATCCCTATTCAATGTGTCAAAACATGCCAACAGGATTGTACACAAGATGGGAGTTTGATTCCGATATGCAAAAATTCAAAGCTAGACATAACCGATCTCGCAATTTTGAGAACATGGTCATGTCTTACTACCAAGAAACCAGACCAGAATGTAGAATTGAGAGCTTCCACACATCTGGAAATCAAAAGAAAATTGACTGTTTCAATGTTGATGGACATTGCAATCACTGCAAAACAGTGTTTGAAGCAATGGGATGCTATTACCATTTTTGTCTTTGCCAGGAGACTCGTTCCTCACTTAACGATGAAGATATTGAGAGAGGAAACAAAAGGAGAGAGATGGATGACTTGAGACGTGAATATATTCGCGAAAGAGGATACAAAATCGAAGAGATGTGGGAATGTGAGTGGTGGCAAAACTTCAAAACGAACAAAAAAATAAAGAATCATATCCGATCCAACTTTCCCTACAAAAGACCTCTCTTCACTGATTCTTTATTGGAAAAAATAAGAGATGGATCTCTTTATGGCTATATTCAGTGCGAATTAGTTGTTCCAGACGAACTGAAAGCAAAATTTTCTAATTTTCCTCCAATTTTTAAAAACACTGATGTTGGAAGAAATGACATTGGGGAATATATGCAAAATTATGCCATTGAAAATGATCTTCTGAAGCATCCCCAGCGTATGCTAATATCTAGTTTCAAACTAGAAAATGGTTCCATCATTACTCCTCTTTTCAATTTCTACATGGAACTTGGCTTACAGTGTACAAAAGTTTACCGCTTTGTACAGTATCTCCCTCGAAAATGCTTCAACAAATTTGTTCAGTCGGTTGTTGATGCTAGAAGGGAAGGAGATGAGAACCCTTTATCCGGTGTTGTTGCAGAGACTATGAAGCTTTTAGGTAATTCATCCTACGGTTACCAGATAATGGACAGATCGAGACATACGATCACAAAGTATTTGAATGATGAGAAAACACACAAAGCAATTAATGAACCTCTCTTCAAACGATTGAACACTGTTCAGAAAGACTTGTACGAGATTGAGTTACTAAAGTCAATAATTGAGCACAAAGAACCCATAATAGTCGGATTTTTCATTCTGAGAATGCTTGAGCTTTACATCAATTTTTTTGACAAATTTTTTGATGTAAATAAGTTCGAGGAATTAGAAATGGACACGGACTCGCTGTATTTAGCTCTTGCTGAGGAAAATTTGTATGATTGTATTCGTCCGGAGAAAAAAGGTGACTGGGAAAAATTGAGAGAAAAAGATTGCAGAGATTCATTCAGAGCAGATTCAAAAACAAACTTTTTTTCACGAACATGTTGTAGCGTTCACATGAAGCACGATAAACGAGAGCGTGGTCTGTTCAAAGAAGAATTTAGGTGTACGGAGATGTGTACGGAGATGACAACAAATCAGACAAAATGAAGTTTAGCAGCAAAGGATTGAATAAAAGAATTCTAGAGGAATCCGGTGATGGACCTATGGAAAAATACAGGAAAGTACTCGACGAAGCAATCAACTTGACTTCAACAAACAGAGGATTTAGAACCATTAATCATATGGTTGCTACATACGAGCAAACAAAGAAGGGATTGAGCTACTTTTACCCTAAAAGACAAGTTCAGGATGACGGAATACACACAAAACCTTTGAACTTGTAAATAACTGATGGTGTAATAGCATTCAATTCAGTATTGATTAAGTAACTGTAAACTTGTGGTTAAATGATTATACGAAGCAGTGATTTATATACTTTCTTTGTAATTTAAACTTTTTTTTTCAAAAAACATGACTTTTTTCGATGTCTCTGTAGGTTCAGAATAGATTCAGATAGGTAGAAAGTAAAAGTATCAAATAAATTTTTATTAGATCAAATTAAACTAAATCTTATCGTGTTTTGAATTTTTTCGAAAAAATTTTTTTGATAAAAATTCCGAGTTTTTGCACAAAAACTCTTACCATTGACTCAGCATGCACCAAAAAAACTAAATACATAATCTTAATTCTACAATCTACACGTAATTAACAATTAATTGTTCCCAATTAGGTAACGCGCGCCCAGATTTTTGTGAAAAAATTAGACATTTTCGCGCAAAAACCAAAAAAATTACGTTGTCTTAACATTATCTTACCATCACACAAACCATAAAACCATACTATCGGTATTCCCCATCTTAATACATTGTAGACTCTATACCCAATCTTAATACAAGCTGGCGGACCGGATGCTCTATTCCCCATCTTTATACATGGGGGTCCGCCACCTCCCCCTCCCCCCCCCTGATCACCTCACCCTTCTACTACTAATATCGCTTTTATTGTTCAATTCAATTGAGATTCTTAGTTGAACTCTCCTTGAATTGAACAAAAAAACCAGTTAATTACACAAATGAAAGGTTAAATAAGGAAAATTTTGGATAGATTTGATTAATTTTACTTTCTCAAAAATTACGATTAGTTATAATAATTTCCCGAGAAATCAGAAGTTTCAATATCGATTCAGCTAATATGAGTTTTATATGTTCAGAGCATTATATAAAGCAATTTTTAGCTCAAATTAGAGTAAATTTTATCGTATTTCATTATTTTGAGAGAAAATTGTGGAAAAATCCATATTTTTATTCAAAGTATTGTATCACTGTCTCAACATGATGCCAATTAAATTACAATTTGAGGTTAGTTTTAAACTCTACACGTATCCATATTTTTTCAATTAGATCAGAAGCAACAAAAAATTGGCCAAAACGTTGAGATTTTTGCAATTTTTTCCAAAAATTTGAAATTTTTGCAATTTTTTCGAAAAATTTTGAAATTTTTGCAATTTTTTCCAAAAACTGGAAAATTTGCAATTTTTTCCAAAAACTTTGAAATTTTTGCAATTTTTTCCAAAAACTGAAATTTTTGCAATTTTTTTCCAAAAATTTGACTTTTTAAAAATTTTCAGTAGGTTTCAGCATAGTTTAAGCTAGATTGAGTGCAATTTCAAAAAAAGGATTCATCCAATAAAATAATTATTAAATTAAATTATATCAAATCTTATTATGTTTTGAAATTTTTTGAATGAAAAAAAATTCCAATTTTTTGCACATCTTACCATTGACCTACCATGAACCAATAAAAAAAAAACCTTCATTACAAAATCTACACGTAATATTCAAAAATATTACACAAAATACCGTTTTTCTTACCATTCTTTTACCATCACACTGAAACCTTACCATTCCCTATCTTAAAACATTGGGAAACCTATTACCTATGTTAAAACAATGAATTTTCAACCCTTATACATAAGGATATCTATACACTATCCTAATAATTGGGAAATCTAAACACTATCTTAAAACATGGTTAAAACGGGCACCAACATTTTTTCTGAATATTACCATCTCAAACCTTACCATCTATATACAAAGGAAACCTAATCCCTATCTTAATACATGGGGACATCAGCGTGATCACTTGATTACGCACTGGATATCACAATATGGTTATCCGATGACATTCCAATCGGACAATGGGAAGGCATTCGTGGGGGACCTGACAAAAGAACTAATGAGAAGATCCCACATTGCACAGGCTCATTCAACGACCTACCATCCACAAACGAATCGATAAGTGGACTGACAGAACAGAACACTAGTGAATATGCTCCGGGTGTATTGCTCAAAATTTATGACTGATTGGGGTAAAAATCTGCCGCAGGTGGTGGGCGCGTATAACAGCACGCAACACTCAACAACGAGGGGATTGGTCCTTTCATGATGTTAACAGGTAGAGAGAGAGAGAGAGAGAGAGAGAGAGAGAGAGAGAGAGAGTGATGCCCCTGACATTCTTCTATCCGGAGTTGGAGGGAAAGAAGACGTCGCATCAGGCATAAGTGAAGGAAGCAGTCAGGAGACAACAGGAACTGAACGAGCTGTGCAGACGGAACACAGCACGGGCACAGATGAGACAGCGGAAGAAGTACGATGAAAAATATTTCAAGCGAAGCCGTATGCTGTGGGACAATACGTCTGGGTATTCCAGAACATCATACCTCCAAAAGGGACGAAGATGCTATTGAAGAAATGGAGAGAGCCGTTCATGATAACAGAAGTGAAGCAGCAGGGTCGGTTCTATCGCTTGAGTACAGGGCGTGTGGCACTACGAAAACCTGAAGCCTCACGTCCCATCTCCGGAAGATTGTTGCGTACCACAGAACTTGGAAGGACTCGAGTATCTACTGGTCTAATATTCTTAAGGCTAGAGAAAGGGGGAGGCAAGAGTCGGAGAAAAGGGATCTGGACAAAGAAGTCGAGTCAGTGATGATGGTGACGACACTCCCGAGAAGAATTGCGCTACCTAAGAGAGGGCTGAAGTTAACGGGTTAGAGTTGCAGAGCCAGCTGGGGCGAACTTGGGAAAACTTGCTGCTGGAGTATTTTGAAGATGCGATGAGAGCACCCTCGTCGCAACCATCATTATTGGCGAATCCTTTTGTCAGGACACCAGGACAGTTGCTGTTTTCATGGAGCCTGGCGGGAGTGGCATTAGAGGCGTTGACTTCTTATGACAAACTCAAACTGGGCAATACTGTTTTGCGCGTGTACCAAATGTTGGTGCAACACATTGCTCGAGATAACTCGGGATTGAGTCTAGCGAGGAGTAAAGATGCCACCTGCTTCTTGAGATGGATTATGTCAGTGATGTCTGACACCACCGTCCAGACATGCCACCAGAGAGCGATAAGAAGTAAGACGATGGAAAGGAGAGTCGTCACCGTCATCCTGAATGTGTACCAGAGTACTGGAATCGCCAAGGGGGATGGCTCAAGGCAGTCTCTAGAGAACCACGGAAAGGTTGATGAAATGCGGAGGTTCACCCACAAGAAATTCGGCGAGGATAACGATGTGCATAGCAGCCTGGCTCTAGCAGAAGATTACTCAAGGCCCACGAAACGGGGAGAATATCAATATGTGTCTGGAGTGATGGGGATAGCATACAACCCTTTCTTGGACTCAGAAGCTGAAAACGCTTGCATGAATTTTGAAGTGGTGGAGTTGTTAAAGTTCTGGATGGAGAAAATAATTGAAACTGACCCAACGGAAAGGGAAAGACCGAGCCTACGTCTGCTACTTGAGAAGATACCGGAAGTTATCAGTGTGCCGCTATCGGACAAAAAGGTCGAGCTAAGACTGGGAAGCGCAGAAGACGTATTGTCTACGAATTTGGGGACCATTTGGAAATTATTGAGACCGTCTCGGTGCCAACATCCCCACGCGAGCCTGATCGAGGAAGTTACGCTGCGGGTGAGATTGTCGCCAGCGAAAGATGAAGATCTGGGAAATTTGAAAATAGTGCACAAATTGATCCTGCCTCATCAAGAGAAATCGGAGGGAGCAATGAGCAAGCTTGACAAGTTTGTAAAGAAGATGGAGCCGGGCAGATGTCTGGACCTGGCATGTGGAGGAGGAGAGCAATCTTGTGATGGCCGGTCCTGTGTCAGAATACAGTCCTTCCAGAGTGAGGATTTAGTCACTTGGCTCGGTGACATCACGCAGAAGGAGAAAAGCGAGGTGCAGATAGTGGCTGAACTGTAATTATAGCGACGCGAGCACAACTGTAATTATAGCGACGGCATTGGGATTCTTTTCGAGGATGCGCAGTTTACAATCTTTAGAGATGCTGGAGTACGACCACCATTTGGTGACAGCGTTAGCGTGGAGTCTTGGCCAGGAGTGTTGCAAATGATCCAGAAGCACATCATGGAATGGAAGATCGGTCTTGAGTCGGAGATGGGATTTCCTGTGAGCGAGGCCTACAGTTTACCAACAAATGCGAAGTCTCTGGTGGGATCAGTCATGACCAAACTGTGCGGAAGCCATTACACATGGCGATGGTGGAAGCATCTAGTCAGAGGGTGTTAATCGACAAGGTTTTTTTGGTGCCCAAGTGTGTACGGTTGGCCCGAATGTCGCACCACTCTCACAAGTTGTTACGGAAGATACTAGGAGCGGTGCCTGGAAATCGAAGAAAGGACTTGAGTGACATCTAGGGGGAAGAGCTCCGGAGTCTAGAAAAATAGAAAACGAGTGACTTTGAAAGACAGAATACGATCGGAAAAGCGATGAATAGTGCCCCAGCCAAGGAAGAAAATGATGTGACGCATGAAAAAATGATGGAGACTGAACCTCTGTTGGAAACTTTGGGAGAGCGCAACCTCCGGAGCATCAACCTGACACACGTGAAATGCCCATTCCATTGTCTGGCACGGACAGTTTGGTATCCGGAGCACTCGAACCTCTGTTTGATATGGGACGCGGAAGAAATTCGGTCAGTAGGGCTACCCAGTCACCAGCAGAAGGTCACTCTTTTGTGTTAAGCTCGATGCTGGCGTTGCGATGGATCGAGGAGAAAGTGATAAAATATCGAGAGTCGAGAGCACCAACAATGGAGTCAATACATGCCATTGACTACAGCCGAATGCTTGACTTGTTCGAGACTGTGTGTAAAGTATTCCCTGTGCCCAAGGAAGTGAGGCACGCGTGAATTCGCATGAGACTCTTCTGATGGTTTCGAGCGACGCTGACGTCTTGGCTGTGTACGGTGACGAAGAATCACATGAAGAAGCATCAGAAAAAACATCGACAGTTCGTGGCCAAGATCGGGTCCGAGGCCTTCAAGAGACTCTTGCCAACTCATCGTAATGCGATAACCACGGGTTGAAAAAGGGTTGGTAGAGTGTCTCGAGATAACACCAAGGCGAGGGAATTGATACTAGAAGAGGACTTTTGCTTGAATAGGGAATCTAAAGTGAAGGGTCTGCTGAATCAGGCGAAAAGACTATAAGAGCAAAAGGAATGGATTCGAGCCTACGAACAGCTGAAGGCATGGGAAGAGGTCGTAATCAGTTCCGATGACGAAGAAGAACTGGCAAGGCAAATTACGACGTCGAGTGTGTCAGGACCCAGTACCTCGAAGAAAAGGAGCACGATTTGAAGAGGGTGTTCAGGGATTGGTTCTTGAGTCGTGAGCGAGGGAAAGAAAAAAGGGATTGAGTGTGAACTCAGAGGAATAATGAGGGCACGGAAAAGAAATTATGATAAAAATGTTTTTGTTGTTAGTATACTATATCTACTACATAAATCAAAATACTGCATGACAATTTTCTGAATGGGCAAATCAAAAAAAGTTTTGATGATAGCTTGCATAGCGAAAATTCAGGGCGCAGGTGTATGCAGAATTTGATTGCTGTTTAGCGATAATGTGACATTTTTGCATGGCTGTGAATTTTGGGGTGTAGATAAAGTGAAATCTGCTGCAAAACTCTCTAAATGATCACTGGCACTGCATCTTGAGACGCACTCAACTTTCTGGGGGCTCACTGGCAGACGACGACACGCGATGACGACATCGATCTTGAGTCCGAGGAGTATGTGCCAGTCGGTCATATTTGGAAGTTTGGCCTTGAGCAATGCTTAGTGAAATGCGATTTTTCATCAATTCGAATTGAGCATGTCATGCTCAAGTTTCTCGCGACAACTAAAAATACAAGAAAATAAGATCACAAGAATTGAACTACAATTGCGACAAGGTAGTCCAAAAAATAGGAGCATGAAATTGTTATTCGCAATTTTGCCGTATAAATCGAACGAGAGTAGAGCTGTCTCATTCTTGGAGAAGGAACAAGTCGTAACGGAAGAAACAAAGAAGATTGAGTAAACCAGAGTGAACCTTCGGTGAAAAGGTGGACAGCTGAAACTGTGCAGTGGTCCAAGCAGAAAACTTGTGTCTTGAGTTAAAATTTATTCACTTCAGACTTCTTGAGTTGAACTTGATTACTGGATTAATTCTAGAGTTGCTTATTAATTTAGTTACTCGATTCTAGAAGTCGTATCGGTATGTAAGTACCCAATTTAACTTTCGTGAGTGTGTTTTACATTATTATGTTGAGTTAGGGAGAGTTTTAGGTTGATCCATCCGAAATTGATCAAAGGCCCACTGTCTAATAAAAAGTAACTGTATACATAAGGTTCCGACCCTGTTTTTAACGGAGTTCTTGTGTTTTGGGTATTTTGAGACCTGAGTATGGGGGCGTTCTTATTTCTAGAGTGGGGGGTATTTTGGTAGAGGCCTTTAAGCCGTAACGCGGTTTGTAGTCTCATGTCGCAAGTGAACCGAATTGGCTACTACCGTTTGAGGTAGAAAAACACAAAACATAGTGCACCTGACTCTTGAACCAATGGTTATAGTGCCTAATTTCGTTAAGACGCATAGTAGAGACGCATACTAACGCACTTTGGTCAACAGTCAGTTGAAATATCAAAGACACACGCCAAAATTGCACAGAAAATATCGACAGAAATACTAAGTCATGAGCTTCTTGAAACATATAATGCCTGTCAACTAACTCCACTTGATAAAAACCCAGGAGTTAGGTCAATTGGCATAGGCGAAGTCATCCGCAGAATAATAGGTAGAACGATCACGAAGTGCTTAAAAAGCCAAATTATGTCACTCGGATCGGATAACCAACTATGCTTTGGCCAAAAATGTGGCATCGAATATGCAATTTATACGCTTAGGAAGCAATATGAGAAAACAGATTCCGATTCAAGTTTACTGATAGACTCGGAAAATGCATTTAACTCCCTAAACCGGAACCTTACTGACGGGAACGCAGTCAGTAATTTGAAAAGTCTGCGAAGAGTTCTTGACAACGTTATCAAACACGGAGAATAATTTGGATATCATGTAAAGGCATCAAAATGCCAGCTCATTGTAAGAAATGAAAATTACAATGAGGCAATAAAAGTAATGAAAAATAACGAAATTGAAATGAAAAAAGGGACCAGAGTACTTGGTTCTGTCATAGGATCCGAGACTGCATGTAAAACTTTCTTAGAAACTCAGTTAGAAGAACAAAATAAAATACTGAAAAAACTTGGCAAGATCGCGAAAACATCACCACAAAACGTGAACTCCTGTTACTCCTGAAAAATACGCACTTGGGTTGGCCTCGGCAAAATGTGCCTGAAAATGATTCACTGCTTCTCTGTAGATATTATTTTAACCTGAGTAAATCCGAATTCCGGGATGGAATTTATCTCAGATATGAATGGGAACCAACCAACATTCCACTCACATGTGTATGTGGTCAATCTTTCGACCTTACCCACGCCCTTCACTGTGCAAACGGTGGATACGCGCACATGAGGCAGAAAGAAATCAGAGATACCTTTGCCACCCTCATGAGCTAGGTTTGCTTTGTTGTTGAAATCGAGCCGAAACTTCAGTCGTTGGAAGACGAGAGCTTTGTGAACAATTCAACCACAACTGATGAAGACACTCGACTAGATGTTAAAGCAAAAGGATTATGGGGCTTAAGGTTTAGCCGAACCTTCTTTGATGTCAAAGTCTTCAACCGTCAAATTCTCACGAAGACTACTGAAAGACGCCTATAAGTACCACGAATTACTAAAAAACTCAAAATACCAACAGAGAGTTCTACAAGTCGAACAGAGCAGCTTCTGCCCTCTCATTTTTGGCTGCACTGTTGGTGCCGCAACAGCAGCTGTTCAGACAATGCAGCGCATAGCTGAAAAACTTTGTGAAAAAAGCTACGCATTTTTGGAACACTTGAATATTATATTTTCTTGTGTCGAGTTGCGTGTTCTTATTGAAGAAACGTAACCCGTATCGATTTTAATTGAGAAAGAACTTCAACAATTGTCATCTTCTTTTATCATTATCACTTCCATATCAAGAAAATTCCAGGGATTTTGACTGGAATACGTGATGAAGGGACTCCTGACTGTAACCTCGGTTACTAGCATACTTTTGACCTTCTGATTACTGAGAATGGCCCACTCGGCTAGTTTTTATTTCAGATTTTGGTTCTGCGAAACTTTTTTAATGGCGACAATTGCACCCGCAAGGGTCAAGCGTGAGTTTAAGGAAGTCACACAGCCCACAGATGAGAAAGACGTAAGTTTGTTTACTAGGGCATATGAAAGCGTGTCTAATATTCTGATTAAAGGCTGAAATGTAATAAAACGTCTCTTATAATTTTAGCCGTTGAAATTGATCAAGCTTGACATGGTAGACAACAATATTCTACACCTCAAGGGCGAAATATTCGGGCCCCCAGATACACCATACGAGGGTGGAAAGTTTAAATTAGACATTACAGTCCCCGACTCATACCCTTTTAATCCGCCGAAAATTAAGTTCGAGACCAAGATATGGCATCCCAATATCAGCAGTGTGACTGGTGCCATCTGTCTTGATATTTTGAAAGATCAATGGGCTGCTGCTATGACATTAAGAACGGTGCTACTTTCTATACAAGCACTGCTTGCATCACCTGAACCAGATGATCCTCAAGATGCAGTAGTTGCTAATCAGGTATTTCAAGGCCAACAAAATCTGTAGGCAATTAAAATGGAAATTTTCCATTCAATTAAATTATGCCTAGCAATTATGTTTCAAGTTGCTAATAGGTATATTTTCTAGACAGGAAAGAGTTGATTGAGAAATTCAAACTTACTCTCATTCAAGGTTTTCCGAAGTCCCTGGATTCTAAATTAATTTCAATTACTTATTTGCCTAAGCAAACTCGGCTGTTTAAATACGAGCTCTTCATTTCCAATCTAAACAGCAATTTGTTGCGCTTAATTTCAGCATACTTGTATACCGGTCAATTTGACGCGATTTGGTATCTTAGCTAATAGCCTAATGCTGTTAATTATCAATCGAAGTTTTGTCAAGCCTACTAAGTATATGAATCTCAAATTAACTGATAAATCGTATCCGGGCAAATTTTGAATATTCCAACTGTTCTATAAAACTATGCGGTTAGGTCTTTTTAATCAGACATCTGTGATAATTTAGCATCAAATTAAGAAATATCAGCTAAAATTGTTGGCTCTCTCCGCTCAAACAATTTTTTAATTATTAAAAGTTAGAAAAACATCCTGCAGCGAAGATCAATCACAAATAGTTAACGAACGTGCTTTCGAATGGTGATTACTCAGCGAATTGAGTCCTCAGAAGAAGGGAAAGAATGATGAGAGATAGATTTTTAAAAAAGTACAGAACTCGTTCTATCTGTCTAATATTACGCTTGCGATTACAAGGGTAATCTAACTGGAATATAGACTTTTCTCGGGTTAACAACTTGTTTGAAATAATTAATTTTATCTTGGTTCACGGTGAATCCTAGCTTCTACGCGTTCCTAGTCAACTTAGCCGGGAGGTAACGAATATGCCTTGGACGTCAAAGGTCTGGGTTTGAACCTGACCAAGACCTGTTTTCTTTCAAACGGGAAATATTCTGTTTCAAATAAAATTATCGGACAGTTATTTGTCTGCTTATCTGTTGTCGGCTTAGTTGGCACATCTTGGAATAGTTTTTTTTTCGTATTTCCTTAGTTTTTTGGTTTCGCGGAAAAAATTCCTCGGCTCAAATTAGTTCGGCCTATTTTTTATTGGCTTAATGACCTAATTTTGGGTTGTATCAAGGGAAAGACAATTTTAACACTCCCATCAGCCTTTTTCAAGTTGGTTGTATTTTTACCAATCGGTTTGTTGATTTTTTTTGTTATTGGAAAGCTTTAGTTTTTCTCCGAAACTTCAGCCTCAACGCCTACTCCTCTGTGAGCCTGAATACTCCTCTAGAGTCTTTTCTATTCACCCCTTCGTCTACAGCCTTCGTTAAAGTCTGTGGGGGAATATTTGACCCATATTTTTGTGGGGGAATATTTGACCCATATTTTTGTGGGGGAATGTTTGACCCGGATTTAAGACTTTTTTCGTTTTCTCGAAAACTACTACCTCTCTCAAATCTGGATTTTTGGTTTCAATGAATAGAACGGTTTTGAAAAGCTCCCTGCACATGCGGCCACGTCCAACTTTTTTTTACACAATTTTTTGGCCCTCGGAATGTTCAAATTTTTTTGATTTTTACCTTTTTGTGAAACTTTGACTTTTCTCGAAAACTAACTTCTCAAATCTGATATTGCAGGTTCAATGGAGACAACGGGCAGTGAGAAGCTGCCCTGCATAAGCGGACGAGCAGAAAGTTTTTTTACACAAAAAGTTTTTTACTCTGAGTGTTATCGCACTCAGTTTTTTTTCTAAATCGCTATTTCTCGAGCCAAAAAGTACCCTCCCATATATGGGATTTTGGGTTAAATCCAGAGAACGGCTCGTAATAGCTTCTTTGAATGCTCGAACACTCCCAATTTTTTTGATCAGAAAAAAACTTATGACCCGCGGAAAAGTCCAAATTTGATATGTGACTGTTCTTTGCAATTTTTTTCTCGAAAACTCCCCTCCCGAATTTGACATTTTGAGTGCAATCGAAATTGCAGTTTGCGCGAATTCCTTTGGTATAAGCGGCTACTCGAAATTCGGCTACTCGAAGTTCGGGCCCTTTTTTCACTCAAAAAGCTATGATTCTCGGGAATGTCAAATTTTTTGATTTGTTGACCGTTTTTTGGACTTTTCCCACTAACTATCCTTTCAAATCGGACATAGTTTTAATCGAATCAATAGGTTGTTGAAATTTCAAGTTTATAATTGGCTATGCCTTAAATGTGATTGAAAAAGTAACGGCGTTCAAACAAGTCAAAGTTTTGAAACTTCGAAAGTTGTTAGGAAACTTTTTGACTAAAATTTTTTTGGGAGATTTTTGCTGAAATACCGTGCCAATTCTGACACTGTGTTTAATCGAGAAACCCGATTTTGAGAATTAACTCAGCTAAGGAGTCTACAAATTAGTTTTTGCAGAAAAAAGTTTTGGATTTTGGAAAGTCTTTTGACTGTTTTTCAAATTTTTCGAGCGTTTTAGAAATATATTGAACTTTCTTAAAATTTACACAACCAAATCTGAGATGAAAAGGTTAATTAAAAAAACTGGTTGCGAAAATTTTTTCTGCAGACGCGGCGACTCCTGAATATGTTGTAAGAGAAATGTTATCTACTTTGGAAATTGATTATCTCTTAATTTATACTCTTCTCACTTATTTCAGTAGAGGAAAACGAAGGCTTTGGTCGAATAGAAAAAGACTCTAGAGGAGTATTCAGGCTCGCAGAGGAGTAGGCGTTGAGGCTGAAGTTTCGGAGAAAAACTAAAAGCTTTCCAATAACTAAAAAATGGATTTTTCATTGATTTTTCGTGCCGCATCAGTATAGTGAATTCATTGAATATCAAGCACGTACCTCCGGCTTTAGCTGGGCCTCTAGCTGTTTTGTATCGAGAAATACGAAACATTTAGTTTGAATTCGGTGTTTGAATTCAGTGTTTATTTCACCAAGTACTGAACACTTTTGAAAAAATCACAAAATTCGTATCTCGTAAACTAAAAAGATTCGGGTATTCATATTTAGAAGCCAAACGGTCAAAGACTGAGTTCAAACTGGTACATTGAAAAAATCTTAACCATTGGATTATACGATATAGCTTTAATGCGAAAAAATGCTTTCGTTAAACCTGCCAAAATAATACATCGTAAAAGCTCAAACATGGCGAGATAGTGAAGCCCGCATTTAACTATATAATAGATTAGATAGATTTCACCAAATTTAAAATAAGCAATCCAAGAGGGGATACTGTCAGGGTTCCCTAGGGGTTGAGACTTTGGCCTCCAAATAAGAATACCCACAATTAACTTTTTTAGTTTCCAAGATATGACGCTTATTTATTTTTTCATAATTTTTTTAAAACTTAGATTTAAAACAATTCCAAGTGTGACTTCTCAAATGCTCTAGTTTCCGAGATGTGACGTTTTTTTCATAAAGTTTTTGACAAACAGAAATGAAAAATTTCACTAAATTGAAAATTCCCAACCCCATAGTTGGGTGCTCTCAGTGGTTGCAAATCGTGCCTCTTAATATGACTACTCAAATCTTTTCACAAAACAATTCACTTATTGAAATTCCCAACTCTGATGGCTGGTGCTATTTTGACTGCTCAGGCCCTTTTAGTTTCCCAGTTATGCGGTTTCGTAATTTTTTTAAAAAAATTTCAAAAAATTTAGATCTACAAAAAACTAACCAAAAGTTTGAAATTTTCAACACCATGGTGGGTTGCTTCTGAGATATTCTCAGGAGATTTATTATCTGGACTCTAAATATGGCTGCTCACGTTTTCACGTTCATTTGTCTGATTGATGCACCAGAGGAAAATGAAAGTTGTTTTCTCCCTTTGTCGCTTTTTTACTTTTGCGAGCTGCGTAGTGTATTAGTACGAAACTTGTTTTTTTTTTCTAATCAAACTCGCAAAAAAGGGTTCATTGAAAATGGAAAGTGTTCACTTATTTGGTGGCTCTTTTGCTATAACCACAATCTGTAGCATTGGAAGCTTCATAGCATCTATTCACTGCTTTAAGTGTGGCTAGTGTTTGCTATTTGTTAAAGACTCATATTCTCTGGGTTGCAGTTCGAATCTGAGACGTAGCCGAATTTTTATTGAAACGAGGCTGAATTCTCCTTTTCTTAGTGCACTTTATAGAGCTGCTTTTTGTGTTTTCGGTAGTGTTTGCGATGGTCATTTTCTTTATAACTTCGCCTCTGTGATAAACTCATTCTTTTTCCTGCATTTACAATGCACTTTATTTTATTAAATTTCAACACACGCATAAATATAAAATCTCAAGGTAAGTTTTTCCAGACGCATAAATATAAAATCAATCAATAATTATTGTTGAAACTTTAATATGTGAAAGCTTATAACCTAACGTCAAATGTTATTACACTTGGAAGAGCAAGTGATTTGTAATCGAGAATTGTATTTTGTTCCACTTAGAAGTGACCCGGATAGTGCTGATCAAAGAGAAATGTTTACTGAGCATTTCAGGTAACTGATTTCCCTCTCAATCGGAAGTTCATCGATCTTGGCCGGGATTCGATTTTCTTTACATTGAAAATATTTTTCATTGCATGAAAGTTAGTTGCCTGACTATTATTTTTCAGATTACACTTGCGTCAGCTTAGTGTATTGTTACGAACCCTTTCATTTTCTAAACTAAGTCGCAAATTTTGGTGCAACTTTTGGGGCACCTTTACAGGTTTTTGATAGCATGTGTTTTGACATTCAAATAGTAATGAATTAACACAGTTGATGCATTTTTAATTCATCAAATGAACTGAAAAAAGCTATTTGTTTCAAATAACATAACAGTCATAGAAATTGTCTACCTCGATATATCTTGCAATTTTTTGAAATGCATAATTTATACAATCATTTGCGATTTTATGCCATGCTTTATGCGTTACATGCAAATTAATCTGGCTTTATGCGTTACATGCAAAGAAAGTCTGTGTGGATGCCTTCAGTTTGTACTTGCCTAATTGTGTCTATTTTTGTTTGGTGTCTTTTTTGCTGTATTGTCAATTTAGCATAT